CCTTCGAGGTCCTTTCCTGGCATTGGCAATGAAAACGCTCACTGTCTTTTGCAATTAACCAAAAAATAACAAAGGTGCAAGTTGTTAATTGCTGAGCAAATAAAACTCGGGTTTTTAAGGGGGAAGTTGAATAGATCTACTTGGGTGATTAAGTAAATGCCTTGCAAAACAAAATATGTACCTAACATTTATTATCGTTAATACAGCATTTATTTAATTTATTATAAGCTTATTTAATAACAAAATATCGGACACCATTGTTCAATAATTAACATCTCTTCGATACGAACAATCTAAAAAATTAGAAGCCAAATTAAAATAAAGGCAACCATTTTCTTCACAAATTTTTAGAAATGAAAATTAAGCCCAAAATGTTTCATATTGTGATCATATATCATTTTATAAACATTCTCTAATAGAAATAGATCTATTTTTGCCTACACATGTTGAGATTTCCAACATTTCCTACTCAGCAAATAGCATACTTAGGCCACTTAAAGTTCGCTATTCCCAAATCGATCGATGGCAACAACATCCGGCCTGCTGGCAGGACTTGTGGCAACCACTTGATGCTGGCTCCGCCATAAAGTACCCAGAATATCCCAGCGATTGCTGTGCGCTGCGAACGCATGTCCTGCTGCCCGCGATGGCGACATCCTTATTTGCATGGCCAGTGGCCCGCAGGAAATGTCCGGCAACGAGGATGCAGTAACAACCAGCAGAACAACAACTATCTGCTGTGTAGTTGTCGTCCTTCGCGCTGCAAACCGGAAGTAGTCAAGGCTCAAGGTGCAAAACAACAAACAGCAGCAAAGGCAGCAGCATGTGGATGATGGATGGAGCCTAAACTGAACTGCACCCAAAGAGATTTCTGTAAACTAACAATCTATGTTTTATTTATACTAAGTGTATTTTATTTAATGTTTATCACATAGATCGATATAAAAATGCCCAATTACTAAATATACTTTAAAAAGTCTGTTCAATTAATAAATATCAATGCCTTCTATTTCAAACAAGTAAAGCTCTTAATTAGATACACGTAATTTTAAATTTGGATTTTGTCACTTTTATTCCAACACAGAAAATGCAAATTTTTTTGAGTGTAGAGATCCATTCGATTTGCCAGCACGCGTAATTTGATTCGCGCTCATAGAAAGCAAAGGACTCAGTTAGGACTCCCGCACTCGGAAGGAAGTGGCCCACGAAATTCCCACGAATTGCTGAAAGTCCCTTTTGGCCTCCACTCTTCTTGTTTCCGGTTTCTGTTTACGCGAAACTTTTACGCATTCGCCTTGAATGCTGATGGCGATCTTGAGCTCGGGCATGAATGAAACGGGTTGGGCAGTTCCATAACAGGATGTTTACCGACAGTGGTCCAGCTGATGGGCAAGGACATGCGGCTGGAATTCCAGGAATCGCCATTTGAATGGACAAAGCGCGTGTACTCGGAGCGGAATCCTCTCAATTCCACGAACCAAAGCTGCAAAAGTTTTGAAGATGATTTTCTACTAAGATCAGGGTCAAAGGATATTTCATACTATTGTTTAATTTTATATTTATATTTCAGGTTTGGCGCCATAATTTTAAGTCCAGTGCAAATGCTCTGATTTACTCTAATGCTTTGTTATTTAAAGTTCTTCAAAATGTTTGTTAATAATTACAGTTTAAAGTATATACAATGTATATAGATTATTACATAGACTGATAAGGGGTTTCCAAATATAATAATATAATATAATCCACTAAGGTAGATTTAATCTTTGCTGCTCTGTAACTTACAAGTACAGGTACTTCATTTTTTTTTTTTTTGATACGACTTAAACTTACAAAAAACGACTTCTTTACCTTATAAAAAGAATCCGGAAGTGTCTAAAATCTTCTTATATACAAATCCAATGACTCTCCACCTGTGGCCGGAATTAGATTGCTTAAGCAACCCCTTCGCAGGACATGTTTGCTTCCAGGACTTCCCACGCTAAGCAACTTCCGTTCCGTAGCGTTTGCATAAGGATCCCCCGCCAGAAATCGAAAGATATTCCCACAGATGAGATGTGCAGGAACACAAAGCAAAGATTATGCAATGCACCTGATCCACCCTCGCATTCGGCGATCCTTGATTTCATCTGACCCTCTTCCATCTCGTTTTTAGCAAACAGGGTGCTCCGAAGGATCCCAGTCGCGTTTCCGTTCTCAGGCCCAAGGAAGATTTCCGATAAGTTTCAAATTCAATAACGAAGAGACAGCAACTGCTGCGGTTTCGCCTTCAACTGCTGCTGCTGCTTCCAATTAAGAGAAAGTCGGAGATCTAACAACTGAAAAGGATTAACTTGCCCAGCTGTTGTAGTGCGAAATTCCGAAATCCCGGCGCAAAAAAATTCACACGGAAGTGAGGTTCGCATCTTCGAGTGGCGACACCTCCACCATCATCTTGAAACAGTAAAAACACAAAACTCTGCAGTAAAAATTCGAAAAACTCGTAAAAGAAGAGGAGATCGAAAAGCAGCTGTTTTTGAGCTGCCTGGGAAGAGGTTTCAGTCCTTCGCTGCATAGATATCCCGCAGGATCCTCTAGGCGATACAAATGTACCTGCTGCTGAGAGTCTGTGGGAAGCGCACATGTTCCCATCTTCGTCCTTCGTTTTTATCCTCATGAGATGCCTCGATACTCGTTTTGGGGTTTCCAGTTTTCCGATTTCCCGTTTGTGTTTTGCATGAAATCGAATTTTTGTTTCAAGGTTTCCTATTCGGTTCTGTTACATTTGCATCCTGTGTGGGAAAAATCGGATGGGAATTTTTCTCGGCCAGCACCTGCCAAGGAATAGTCGAGATGTTTTTTCTGGATTAATGTTTTTTGAAGAACTGATACAAAATAATAATAATAGTTCAGCAATTATAATTTGCTGGGAATGACAACATCAATTTACGCTAAAGTGCCAATGAAATAATATATTAATTGGATTAATATATCCAATGTGAATTTTTTTCTAAATTAGCGATTAACAATAAAATTAGTCTTAAGAATTTTTATTGCTAATCGCTACCCTAAAAGTGTATTTATTACAATTGTCTTAAAAAATTTATTTATTCAGATAATATAATATAAATATTTAAATAAAAGAAATAGTAAAATTGATTTCGCTAAGGCTGTACAAGTTTCGTGTTACAAATTGTTGTTTCGTTACACGAATAATGTTTACTTTCATTCAAGCTTTTATAACAACAAGAGACCCACACATTATTGTCTTGTTTATTTTGTTAAACCTTTCCGATAAATAACAAGTTCAGCAATTAAATGACACATGCCACCGGAGATATATCGGCAACAGGTTGCAATTGATCGTTACATCATCCATCTAAACCATAAACAGATCATGAGCGACACACGCTCCGCTCGATATGAAGAGCATGTCCCGCCTCCAGATCTTAAGCCCCCCTCCGAAACCCCCCTCCAGATCCCAGGGAGTGTCACAAGCCACGCGATTAATTTTCGAGTTTTTTAGCCTCCACAACAGGGCCAGGAAAAAAGTTATATCTGAGGACCAAAAAAGCCTCAAAAAATATGCATAAAGTACGAGAAGATCGGTGAGAATCGAGGGGATTTCGGGGATCGGCAGAAGAGGCTGCAAAGTGAAAGATGTTGCCTGTCTGGTGGACTTGGCCAAGTACATGACCCCAATTTCTTTGTTGTTGCTGCCTTATTATTCAAACTGCACGGCGCCCTTCGACGGGTTAAGGGGGGTGTCAAGGGGTTAAGCGGAAGGTCCACGCAAAAAGGATGGATGATGTATGTTGTGCTTTCAATTTGGAGCAGCAGGACATCTGTTTTTCGGAGATGGAGCTCTCAGCTCTCGGTTACCTGCCGACCACCAACCGGTTTACAGGTGCTAACTTGGCTCAAAAAATGAGGGGTCTTCAAGGGGATAAAAGGGGTCCGTGCGATCGAGAGGCTGCCGTTTGGCTTTGCCCCACAGCCTCCAGGTTTTTCTTCTCGCCGCTCCTTTTCATTTTATTTTTTCGCCGTTGCCGTTGTTTGATCATAAATTTGTGTTTAATTTAAAAACTTTTCACTCTTCTCCGGGCTCGAAAACTCCCGGTGCGAGTACTTTATCGTCAAATTTATTGCGCGAAATATATTTTATTTTAAATATTATATTACAGTTGGACTTCTTTGAAGCGGCTTATATTATTCGTAAATTTATTTTAATTCAACTCAAATCGAATAACTAAAATGTTTTTAAATATGAATTAAAAAAATAATATTTCTTATCTAGTTAATGCTGTTATTAATTTGAAAAAGAATCTGTACCCATTTTCAAAATTTGTACAAATCCCTTTCATACATTTTGGTTTAGAGTCATATTTTAAGACAAACTGTGTTAAAACACTTAATCCTTATAAAATATTTAGAGTTTGTTCTTCTGAAATACTTTCCAAATTTTGGTTAGTGTTATGGGAGTTCTACTGTGTTGGACAAGGATCGGCGGCGGACACTTGAAAGTCTGGCGGGAGAAATTTTGGGTCTGGGTTCGCAATTCCTTGTAAAATTGATTGGTTTCGTTTTCTGGTCTCATGCATATGCAAATGTCGCTCGGTTCGATGCAAATTAATGAAGACCGATTTTTATTGTACAAATTTCAACAACTTTATTTCGCGCGAAGAGAATTCTGGTTATGTTTTTGGCCCTTTGCCTTCTTAGCCCATTTATCAGGTGCTCTCAATGAACTGCTGTTATCAAGTGATTTACAATGTTTGGTCAAGAAAGCGAATCGAATTAATCTTGTTCTTTTAGGAAGGTGATTAAGCTAATTTTTAATGAAAGCACAGATGAAAGACCACCAAAGATTTTATAAAGCTAAAAAAAACAATCGACTATCTTATACAACACAGATTTAATTAGAGGCAGAATACAAATAAACTTTATAAATATTATAAGCAAAATTAGAAAACAAAGCAAGCGAAAATTCGATATTCAACCTGGTTTTATAGAAATATTTAGTTTCTGATCATTCGGCTTGGAACCCGGTTGTCTGGTCCTAAATCAACTACAAAATTTTGTAAGCCAAAAAAATTTAACAAAAAGTTGAGTTTTATTTCCTTTATTTTTTTACAAGGAATTTTTTCATTAAAAAACTTAGCGAACTTTAAAGGTTTTAAGGCTCTGGCAGTTTCTACTATAGTTCAAAAAAACGGTTTGTATAAGTTCATATAGTCTCGGCGCAGATCAAAAAACATTTTCTTTCAGGGCTCTTGGCTGGTGTACTTCTGGACCAGGAACAAATGGATCTGGATCGCTAGTTTCCCCGCTGTGTGATACGAACAATCTTGCCAAATAGGTGATTCAAATCTGGAAGATCTGTAAACCATTCTAGAATGTCGTCAATATAACCAAAATCGAAGGGGTGCCACGTGAATAAAAGTAGGAGCTCCTGGAAGAGACGTCGGATCCGGATGAAATTCATTTCAAAAATGCATTTATCTGGCTCCGAAAATAATTTCCGCGGCTGCTGTTTGCAGACAGGTGGCATTTATTCGATTTTGGCTATATGTATTGTCTTTCCAAATTACAAGGTTAATAAAAAAATGTATAATTTTTAACTTTCGTAGGTGTGCAAATATTTTTTAAAATTAAATATTTTTAATACGATAGAATTGTTCACTTTTTATTGAAGCCCATAAAAAAAGCAACATTCCAGCGCCAAAAAATATAATAAACGAACCCTTTTCATATGCAAATTAAAAAAAAAAAAGAGGTATCGAATACCTTTCAGCGTGGTTGAAAAAAAACCAACCCTAATACCTTAACAAACGTTAAGCTTGTTTTCTGCTAGCATTGATTTTTTGATTTACAATTAACTAAAATTTGTTTCGCACATTGCTTGTACTTATTCTATAAATAAAATATATTAATATATACCAAGCACTTTAGCCTTATAAAAATATTAGTTCTACGAAAAAAACTGAACGAATTATAGAATTTATTTTTCTATTGCATTTTCCTTAAACATGATTACAATATATATATTTATATATAGTTGATATAATAAAATATATACTATTTCCTTGCAACATTTCCTTGCAACAATGTTGCAGCAACATTTGTTCCATCTGCCCGCGGAAATGCACTAAATTTGGACACGAAACCCGTTCTCCCAAGCAGCTGCGCCACCAACAACGTAGGTAGAGCGGGCCAGCAGCACAGTCCATCTCCCTTTCGCAGAGCAGCTAGAGAGGAGAGGCAGTTTTGAGAGAGCGCGAGAGCAATAAGTGCAACACGCGCCCTGTGCAATAGAGCGAGATGCAGCTAGCGCGGTAGAGAAGGAGAGCATGTGAGAGAGCGCAAGAGAGAGATCAAAATGAGCACGGTATATTTTAGTACTTTTCGTGGAGGTAAAACTATAGGGGACTTGGATTCGGTTTTGGACGTTAACGGCATTAAGTTTTTCAACTCGGCCGCGCGAATAACTCAAGAACGGCAGCTCCCGAAGGCAGCTACAGAGCATTTTGAAAAACACAAGTCCCCGATTCGATTCGCGACTCAAAATCATTCAGTGTGTGACGCGAACTGCCAATGCAATAATTTCCAACGAATCTTGGCAGTTCTTATTTAAAAATTATATTTAAAAAAAGTGCCAGAACCAAGAAATAAATAAATGATCTTTTGATTTTAAGAGAATAATATAAAGTGTTTCCGCAAAATAAAAACGAAAGAATCGCGACACCGTTAGTTCCCTCTCTCACTTTTCCCTTTTGCGCTTTCTTGCGTGAAAAGGAGGAGATACGCGAAGTTCGCGAAAAAGCTAAAATTCGCGACACTTAAAAATAAACATACTCGAGGAAATCACAAGAAAAAATGTGGCGCGTGCACGTGTAGCTTGCAACATAACAAAACAACGAAAATGCTAAAAGCGAATTGCAAAACCATGTGCGACAAGTAACCAATAAAATACACAATAATAAATACAATAAACAATTTGAGTAGTTGCCGCACACACACACACACAGCCCGTGGATTATTACACTAAAAGCGACACTCCACTCAATTCAAAAAACCAGCAACAAAAACAGCAATAAACATGCATTGGATTAAATGTTTATTAACGGCATTCATTTGCTTCACAGTCATTGTGCAGGTGAGTTAAAGCCCCAGGAAAAGCCCACATTTTCCTTCCAACATGTTGTGTTTTTCGGCTCTTTTCCTTCCTGCGCATGCGTGCCGCCGAATTTTTGCAGCTGGCGTGGTGTGCGCGCATGTGTGTGTGGCCTTAAAGGAAGAAGCTATTAAAGGATTAGGGTTGCCAGGCAACTTCACAGTAGTAGAAGTTCTTTAGATAGCGTGTGGGTGGTTTAAAAATAATTTTAAAATATCTATTTTTTAAAGGTTTAGTGGTTTAGAGTCCTAACGTGTCCCTTATTTTATTTTTCAAACGCTTGTAATTTGAGAACTTTTTAAATAGAAACAGCTGAGCTGAAATTTAAGCGGGTTGGCTTTTAGGGGTGGAAACTTTGCATCGGATCACCCTTTTCTGAATATGTATTTTTAGATGAAAACTAGTTTGGAACACAAACGAGGCGAGGCCAATGGCAAAACAGGTCCATCCCCAAAAAATTGTTGAATACTAAAAGACAGAAGAATATATCATATATCAGTTGAACAGAAATACAAAAAATTGCGGGAAATCCTGAGACAATGAATTTAGATGTTACTCCAGATTACATTACTTTTTGGAAACAATTTTTTGTGAATATCTTTTGTGAACACAACTTCGTGTTTATTTTATTAGAGCAATTGCAAATCGTTTTAAAGCTAATATGGTTGTTAATTTAAATTTTAAATTAAATATTTCCTTATTATTTGGACGTTGTAGTTTAGTCCTTATTTCTTTGGCTTATCTTTTTTCTTGTGTAAAAACACAGATAATCAAAGTCTGCCTCAACATCAAAATTTACCACCAACGGCGTATGCCTCTTGAACAGCAACAAAAAATGTTAAAACTGCTCGATTTCAATATGAGGCTTTAGTGCAGTGGAGTACGAGCCGATGTTAAAAAGTTGATGATGCTGGGCAACATCTGCCGTTGTCGCTGTCATCTCCTTTCCTTTTTCCCCGCTTTGCATGCGCTTTTTACAAGCGATTTTTTCGGTTTACTTTACGCTCTGCGTAGGTCAACGGCGACACATGCGCAGCTTCACTTGCTTCGCTTCTCGTCTTTCTCCTTGCGATTCTTTTCTGCCATGCTTTCATTGATCTTTAACGCCAGCATCCCATGGTTACACGGATAAAAATGGATGTTCCACCTAAAAATGAACAGATTTAAAACAATTTGTAATTGCTTGTAGAGAGTTATCATCTTAAAGAATATATTTAAAGTTTTCCAATTTTGTTCTGTTAATGTATTTGGCGAAGATTTCTACTTGGTTATTAACAACCAAAGCAAATGAATTTATTTAAACTTATTCATTAAAAATTAATATTATTATGATAAATATAATCATCGAAATAAAGACCCAGGCTATAAAGACTTTCAATAACATTATTCTCTAGCAATGGTATTGCCCATTTATTTACTGTGCACATTGCATGTGCTCTTTACCTCCTCCACACTCCCCACCTCTCATTATTTTCGCCCAACTTTGGCACGTTGCGTGCTTTACTCCACTGTTCGACCAGCTTCTTTTTTTGCAGTCTTTTATTTTAGTCGCTAATTTTAACAACGTTCCAAAAAAGTGTCTCGACGCCAACCTCCTGGGGTCTTAGGACCAGCTGAAAATGTTTCCCCCATATATAGAAACATCTGCCCCGAGAGGATCCCTAACTCTGACTCATTTCCCACTGAAACAATAGGTGGAATAGTTTAATTTGCCATTTAAAATAATATCTCGGGCAATTAGCCCGCCATTAGCAAATGCAATTTAATTCAATTTTCTCCTTATTCTGTAAAGTATTATATTCTCACAATTTCTCGACCCTTTCTTGTCCCATGCTGCGTTTAAATTTCAATTTAACTATCAAATAACCGTAGTCGCCTTGTCTTTGGGTTTTGCATTTATGCAATTTTCATATTAACATTGAGCGCCGAAGGAATGGAAATGAATGAATGAAGACGAAGACTCGTGGGGGATCTTTCGTAGTCTCTCTGCTCTACTCATTCTCCGTATAACATAATTAATTGCAATTTAGAAGCCAAAGAGGAAGACGACTCCCACACAATGCGATGATTCACTTGCGCTTGTAACTGTTTCCCAAGCCCGTTGTTAACGGTTGATTATGATGATGAATTTAAATGATTAATAAACAACTTACAGAGTTGGGGCATCAAAGCAAACACCTGTAGGAAAGTCGAGGAAAAGCTAGGGAAAATTATAATAAAAATGCGTGCTTTCATACATTTTTATGTCCCCTTGTGTTATATTTTCTTTTCTTTTTTTGTACAAAAACTGTCTGTCAGTCAAGGCAAGTTGACGTGGAAATGGCAAAAAAGAAACGAAGAACTAACTAACTAGTCGCTTCAAGCCTGAGTGATCGCAGTAAAAATAGGAGTAGTGGAAAGAAAAAGAAACAGAGACAAAGAACGGCTCAAGCAAAAGGTAAACAATGCAACGCACTATTTTCTAACACTTTAACAAGTGTCTGTCTCCCACCTGAGAGGTTGGCAGTTCCAACTTTCAAGTTCCACCTGGGGAAACTCTCGTACCCCCTTTTTTACCTTTCGGTTCTTTAGACGCAGTGGAGTTTGGAGTTCATAGTTGAAGGCAAAGGCAAATAAAAAACGGAAAAATAACAATTACAAGTGTACATGTGCCAAAGTTATGAAGAAGATTGTGCAAGTGGTAGCTGAATATGTAACATATAAGTTTTCATGTTTTCATTAATTTCTTCAGGGCACTTGGAATTTGTTCAGAAATATTAAGAACTGTTGTTTATGAATGATGATTCCTTTTATTATTGGTATTATTTCACTAAACGAGTAGTTTCCATAACTTCAAAGTTCAATATAATAAAATTGTAAAATAAATTAAATAAAATGCACATAAAAGAGGACTGGTTAATAACACAGTTATAAAATATAAACTATTTTCCCCCTTTTTTTTATTTTTTCTTAATTCCCTTGAAAGCCTAATAATATTAGCCGCATATTTTAAGGGACCTTAAAATAGTGTGAGAAACTATAACCAAAATTGGTGTCAAATGCTGGACAAAACTATTGTGGTTTTAACGATTGCACTTTTTGTTTTGTTTTGCTTTTGCTTCCCACCATCTTTAAAGTGTGTGTGAATGTTTGTTCGGTGTTATGCAAATTGATTTGCTTGCTGTTGTTTTTTGTTAGTACATATTGTGTCAACGGCTTCGCCTTTGTTTGTGTTCGTTTTTTGTTTATCTCTTTTCT